TTATCTGCCAACATTCTCCTGATTGAACAAACTTTCAGGCTCTTATTGCAACCTCAGATCTCAACTACTAGGAATTACAGAACAATAATTAGCTTGGATTTCTAATTATAAAATTTTTAATATTTCTCAATGATTGTAATTAATCTCCAAGGAAGATATAAGTAACTATGCTTCAACTGCCAAAACTGAAAAAGCAATGGATATTTTATTTTTCCAACAGAGTGAATGACCTTATGAACTAGAAATAGTCCATGATCTATATAGTAAGAGTAGATCAGGCACCAGTGTGACCTCTAGTGATCTAAAGGGATGGCACCAATTGGCAAGTTAAGCAATAGTGGAGAGACCACCTCGAATGCCCATTCCTGATAATGAACTTGATGTCTATAACATCAAGTGACTGATGGAACCAGAGGCAAATACCCACAGTTAAACACTGAACTGAACCCAAGGAACCCAGTGATAGAGAGAGAGGAGCGATGAGCAAATTGGCAAAGAATGGGCTGGCAAAACCAGCAGAGACAGCTGATCTGAACAGAGGAGAGCTCTTGGACCCCAGACCAACAGCTGGGAGGCCAGCATGGGAGTGATCCGGAACCCCCGAATGTGAGTGTCAGTGAGGAGGCCTGGGCAACCTATGGGGCTCTGAGCAGTGGATCAGTGTTTATCCCTGGAATACAAACAGACATCGTGTGTCCATAACACAAAGAGGGATGCTCTCTCAGCCTGGACTCTTAGGAGAGTGCCTGGACCCTACCCTGAGTGAAATGACAGACTCTAGATATCCCCTATGTGGAAGGAATTGGCAATAGGGTGGGAGGCTGGTGGGGGATGGTGGGGGGGGTGCGGGAGGAGGGGAGGGAGAGGGATCTGGGATTGACATGTAAAACAAGCTATTTAAAATTAAAATAATAAATAAAAAAAGAAAAATGTTAAAAAAAATAAAATCAGCTGGGCGGTGGTGGCGCACGCCTTTAATCCCAGCACGCAGGAGGCAGAGGCAGGTGGAACTCTGTTAGAGACCAAGCCTGGTCTACCGAGTGAGTTCCAGGACAGGCTCCAAAACAATACAGGGAAACCCGTCTCAAAAAAACCAAAAAATAAATAAAATAAAATCAAGTGCCTAAAATATTCTGATTTTTTTTTTTTTTTTGAGACAGGGTTTCTCTGTGTAGCCCCCGGCTGTCCTGGAACTTACTTTGTAGACCAGGCTGGTCTCAAACTCACAGGGATCTGCCTGCCTCTGCCTCCTGAGTGCGGGCAATAAAGGTATGTGCCACTACTGCTAGGCATGATGCTTCATTTTTGAGGTGCATAGACAAGAAACTAAAGTAGTGTTTTGTACTTAACAATGAGCATAATTTTTTTATTTGTACTTTCTCTTGTTTTTGTATTCTTAGCAGAAAGCAGCATTAAATTTTATTATTTTATGTGTATGGATATTTTGCCTACATAGATGTCTGTGTACCATATGTGTATAGAAGAGGGGCATCAACTTAATCTCTTCAAATATTTTTGAATTTCAAGCTTTTAATAATATTTCATAATGTGCACATTCACACAAACCCTTTGTTTGTCTATTTATTTATTCAGTATTTACTGAATTTGCACTATGTGCCCAACACTAGGGACAAAAGAGCAGTTTTTACATTTAATTTTTTATTTTATGTGTATGGTTATTTTGTGTGCATGTATGCCTGTGCACCATATACAGGACTAATACCCTCAGGGGTCAGAAGACAGCATCAGATGCTTTGGGCCTAGAATCACATATGTTTGGAGCCACTATGTGGCTCCTAGAACTCAAAACTGGGTCCTCTGGAAGATCGTCAGTGCTCTTAGCTATTGCGTCATCTCTCCAGGCCAAAAGGACACTTTTCTGGTTGTTGCTGTTTTTTGTTTTTTTGTTTTTTGTTTTTTTTTTTTTTTTTGGTTCTGTTTTGTTTTGGCTTTTCGAGAGAGGGTTTCTCTGTGTAGTTTTGGAGCCCGTCCTGGAACTAGCTCTTGTAGACCAGGCTGGTCTCGAACTCAGAGAGATCAGCCTGCCTCTGCCTCCCGAGTGCTGGGATTAAAGGCGTGCGCCACCACCGCCCCGCAAAAGGACACTTTTCAAAAAGAAATAAGTCTGGTACAGTGGTACATATCTGTAGTTGCAAGGCTTGGGTAATGAAAACAGGAAGACTTTGAATTTGTAGCTAGCCTGGAATACATAGGGAGTTGGAGGCCAGTCTGGACTAACATAGTGCTCCAAGAGAGAGAGAGAGAGAGACAGAGGGAGCAAAAAAAAATAAAAAATAAAACAAAACAAAACAGAAAACAACAACAAAAAACATAGTTTGTTTGTAGTCTCTCAAATTTTAGTATAGTTATGTCAGTAAGATGTAATTATTGACTCCTGTATTTTTTTCCTTTCTTATTTTATTAGTTTAGGTGCTTTGCTTGAATGTATGTATGCTTGGGCACCACTTGTATGGTTGGTGCCCATGGAGGTCAGGAAGGGGGAACAGAGCCACTTGAACTGAAGTTACAGAGTTGTGAGCTACCATGTGGGGGTGGGTACTGCGAATCAAGCCTGGGTCTTCTGCAAGAGCAGCCAGTGTTCTTAACCACTGTGCTATCTCTTCAGTTCCCCAGATTTTTTGTTTAGCAAAATAAGTATTTTCAAGATCATTGTGTATTTTTCAGATTTATTGATATGTTTACTTATTTGTTTAGTTTATTTGAAACAGGATCTCATAAAACCCAGAGTGGTCATGAATTTACTAAAAGCTGAGGTTGGCCTCGAGCTTTGAATCCTCCTGTCTCCACTTCTCCAAGTGCTGGAATTACAGGTATGCACCACTTTACCTGAGTTTATAGCTGTTTGCTTCATTAGTCAAATACTATTTCATATGAAATAGATATTTTCCTCATCTATTCTCTTATTTTTAGCTATTTGGACTACTGTTAAACCACAATATTGTTATCAGTGAAGTTTAACACTGAGACAATGTTAGAGCATTCATTTATTCACTTGACGCATGCTGGCAGTTAGCACACTGTATGCATACACACAGGTAGGTGTCTGTGTACATACAGCTGTGTGTGCACTCACGTGTATGAGGTCACAGGACAGCTTGGTGTAATTCTTCCTCATGCACTGTTCAGCTTATTTTCTGAGACAAGGTCTCTCACGAGGACCTGGGGCTTTCTTATTTAGCTAAGCTGCCTGGACGGTGAGCCCAATTCTCTGCCTGTCTCCCCAGAGCTGAGACTGCAAGCCTATGCCACCATGCCCAGCTTTTTTTTTTTTTTAATGATTACTGGGGATGGAACATTTTTACCATTAATTATAGGACAGTCTAGTCATTATAGCAGTTCAACTACTGCTTAATTTAAAAATCCATTTAAAAATTTTAAAATGTTTTACGGAACTAGAAAGATGGCTTGATGGGTTAGAGTTAGAGCATCTAATGCTCTTTAGGAGAATCTAAATTTTAGATCTCAACACCCACATGGAACAGTTTACAGCTTACAGCTACTATCAATTCCTTCTTCTGGCCTCCTCTGACACCTGCACTCACATCCTCAAGATTCTTGTGGCAAGGGCAAAAAGCTGCCACATTCTTTGCCAACATTTCACAAGATGAACTCTAGGCTAGTTGTTAAAATTGTTCCCCTCTGGTCAGGCGTTGGTGGCACACGCCTTTAATCCCAGCACTCGGGAGGCAGAGGCAGGCGGATCTCTGTGAGTTCAAGACCAGCCTGGTCTACGGAGTGAGTATCTAGGACAGCCTCCAAAACAAGACAGAGAAACCCTGAATCAAGAAAAAAAAAAAGATTGTTCCCCTCTGAAACCTCTTGAGCTTGTCCGCCAATGCCTACATTACTCTCAGTACTACTCTTCCAAACTCCTACTAGTATAGCCATTCAAGTACTTACAGCATTCAACCACTCTCTTAATACAAAGTCATATATATTCCTCCAAAAAATACCATGGACAGGCCTCAAAACCCACCCCCAATGACACACTTCCTCCAACAAGGCCGCACCTTCTAATCCTTCCCAAACGGTTCTACCAACTGGAGACCAAGCACTCAAACATGGAAGTCTATGAGGCCATTCTCATTCAAACTACCACAGTATGGATGTTTAAATTTCTACACATATAAGATATGTGTACATGTACATTATATATGACTATATAAAATGCATGTACTACATGATGTATGTATACATATTTAAAAATTCCTGTCTATATCAATAAGCTGCATTGCAAATTTCAATTATACAGTCTTACGTCTTCCTCTATTCTATAGTTACATGTTTATCCCCTAAGAAGGACTTTGTTGCTAATGTTCATTTTGTTTGTTTAGTTTTTTTGTTTTATTTTGGGTTTTGGGTTTTGATTTGAGACAGGGTCTCATTGTATAGCCTTGAGTGACCTAGAACTTACTATGTAAACCAAGTTGGCCTCAAACTCACAGAGATCCACTTCTGCCTTCCAAGTGCTGGAATTAAGAATGTGCACTACCACTCCTGACTTGTAGTTTTCTTTTTTTGGTTTTTCAAGACAGGGTTTCTCTGTGGCTTTGGAGGCTGTCCTGGAACTAGTGCTAGGATTAAAAGTGTGCACCACCAATGCCAGGCCCTTGTAGTTTTCTTGATATCGCTAATTCCCTTCCTTAAGAGAGTTTTAGTTTTTTGTTTGTTGAGACATGGTCTTATTGTGTAGTCCAGACTGGCCAAGAATTTATCAGCTCAGGCTGGCTTTGAACTTGCAATCTCTAGAGTTCTGTGAGTACAAGCACACACAACCATTTCCTGACAAAAGGAAAAAATATATCTTGATTCAGACATAAAGGTGACATACTGATGCTTTGCTAGTGCTGGCAAATTTCTTGGGACTTTATATAAAAATTTACAACATTAGAACTGTCCCTCTCTTGAATGTTTATCTGTTTTATATTTTCAAAACTTGTAAAGCAAGGAATTATAAAGAAGTTATTATAAATACTTACTGAGTGGTGTTGTATCAGGAGGTGGAAAATTCTCAGTAAAGTTGACATTACATAAATCTGTACTACAGCAGCAAAAACGGTATGTCCCATTCTGAATTGAGGGTGGGGTGGTAGTTACTACACATTCTTCATAGTGACACTCTTGGGGATCACCAATGTGAGACCAACATCCTACAGACCAATATTAAAGTAAGTCAGGAAGTAATACACTAAATAAAACAGCAAACTATGAAATAATTGCAGTAATATGAAACTAAGTAATATGTGTCATAAAACAACCTGAAAAAATGGTAAAAGATACAACATAAATTTCATGAGCGAAAAGCAACCAACAATATAGTTATGAGTAACTGTACTATTATTATAAGAATTATTCCTAAAACAGTAAAGTCAAATTGTTTTACGTTGTCCTAAGTTTCAAAATAACAATATGCAAGCATAACAAAGTGTTACTGATAGTTACTTTCATACAATTCTATAATAAATGTATGTATGATTATAATTTTGGGAAAACCCATAGCAATTTTAATATAGAGCCTTTAAAATAATCATACATTTTATGATCTGCCAATTCTACATCAAAGAGCCTACTTTAAAAAACAATCAGATAGAACTTTTTTATATATTTAAAGTTTTTCACTGCAGGATAATGCACTCAGTTAAAACCTTAAAACATCACAGTATCTAAAGCATGTAAGTAAACTGTGATACAAATACATAGTGAAATATGGTGCTTAAGTACAAGTGTTTTCAGAAATAACATGGGAAAAAGAGTATGGAATTATTATATAGCATTATCTTAATTTTCAAAGAAGACGACTGGTACACATGTAAATATTAAAGTACATACAAAATGTATCTAAAGGGAACAAATCAACATAAAAATAATACTTTTTAAGAGAACTGAGCTGGGCGTTGGTGGCACACACCTTTAATCCCAGCACTCGGGAGGCACAGGCAGGCGGATCTCTGTGAGTTCCAGGCTATCCTGGTCTACAGAGTGAGTTCCAGGACAGCCTCCAAAACAATACAGAGAAACCCTAAATTGAAAAACCAAAGAGAGAGAGAGAGAGGAACTGAGTTGTAGACCTTGGTTTTTCTGAGTAGTTTTCTCCAACTCAGGAAAAAAAAAAACTGAGTAGTTTTTTTTCCAAACTTCATTCACATACATATATTAACTTATAAAGACAAAGATGTTATTAAAATAAAATGTAATTAAAAGACTAGGCATGGTGAACATGCCTGTAGTTTCTGCAGTTGGGAAGCAAAGGAAGACAGATCTCTATGAGTTTGACCTGGCTCATACAGTGAGACCCTATCTCAATCAATCAACCAATCAATCAAACTACACTAAAAAGTAAAACTACACTAAAAAGTAAAAATCCTTTTACAAATTTGGAACTTGAATATACAGATATATGTAAATGTTTGCATTCTTATTTGCTACTGTTCTGGACAGGATCTTAATCTACCTACATGTCTGTTCTAGATAAACTCTAATTGTATGAAAACAATACTGAGGATATAGTCCTGTGACAGAGAGCTCACTGCCTCTGTGCATGACGTTCTGTGTTTGACTCTCAGCACCCAGAAGCGGGAAAAAAACCCACAAAACAATTTTAAGTTAAAAAAAAAAGTATTACTTGCCTTGTTTCACAAGATTGATGTCCCCTTTTGATTTCTCCCATAGACCATAACATGTGCTGCCCTTGGAGCATAATATTGTCCCATTTTCATGAGAGATTCTACTCTCACCTATCCCAAGGTCTTGTTGATAGGGATCTTTAAATGCACACAGCCGTTCTTGATTCTGGGAAGCTAGAAAAAAGAAAAAACACAAATTGATGTTACTTTGATAATACTATTAATTATGATACCCTTTAAGATTTCTTTACTAGTATATAACATAATTTGAATAACACTATAAAATTTCCTACTAAATTCTTCAAATTTAATTGCTGAATTAATTTTTTGACTCTACATTTAGCCAATAATTTCCTTTTTCAAGATTTATTTTTATTATTTTATGTGTGTGTGTGTGTGTGTGTGTGTGTGTGTGTGTGTGTGTGTGTGTGTGTGTGTGTGTGTGTGTGTAGGCACCCAAAGGAGCTAGAGGAGTTGAATACTTAAGTAACTGGAGCTACAGGTGATTATGAGCTGTCTGACATAGTTGCTGGGAACTGAACTTGGGTCCTCTGTAAGAGCAGTGCACATGCTTTTAACCACTGTATCATCTCTATCCACACTCTCCAGCAATTTCCTTTTTCACATTAATTTTTTTGTTTTGTTTTGTTTTGTTTTTTTCAAGACAGGGTTTCTCTGTATTGCTTTGGAGGCTGTCCAGGACTCACTCTGGAGACCAGGCTGGCCTCGAACTCACAGAGATCCGCCTGCCTCTGCCTCCCGAGTGCTGGGATTAAAGGCGTGAGCCACCAATGCCCAGCTTCACATTAATTTTTACATATAAGCTAGAAGAAATTTTTTAAAATGTTTCCTGAAGACAGTCTTCTTTTACTCATGTAACTTTTACCACTGTTTCTACTATCAAAATTTTTGCTGCTCAAAAAAAAAAAAAAACAAAGAAAGAAAGACCATGTTCAATGGGACATGGTGTTGTACATGTTTAATCCCAGCACCTGGCAGGCAGAGGTAGGCCATCTCTGTGAGTTAGAAGCCAGCCTAGTCCATATAGCTAGTTTCAGGCCAGCCAAGGCTACAGAGACCCTGGGAAACAGAAAGGAGGGAGGGGAGGGGAGGGGAGGGGAGGGGAGGACAAAAGAAAAAACCCTAAAAACATAAGAATTCTGGCAAATTTGGTCAGGTGACATGCCTTTAGCCCCAGCATTCAGGAGGCAGAGCCAAGCGGATCTCTGTGAGTTTGAGGCCAGCCTGGTCTACAAAGTTCCAGTACAGTCAAGGCTACACAGAGAAACCCTGTCTCAAAAAACAAACAAATAAAAGTTTACAGTATTCAATTCTATCATTTTACAGTCATTTGTATAAAGTTAAATTATTAGATATGATAGACTCAAGTGTGAGAATAACAAAAAAGGTATATATGGTTTCTTTTTTTTTTTCTTTTTGGTTTTTCGAGACAGGGTTTCTCTGTGGCTTTGGAGGCTGTCCTGGAACTAGCTATTGTAGACCAGGCTGGCCTCGAACTCACAGAGATCCACCTGCCTCTGCCTCCCAAGTGCTGGGATTAAAGGCATGCGCCACCAACGCCCGGCTATATATGGTTTCTTTTCAGAGGGATTTATATGTGTGTTCTAAAATTATGCTGTGGTAATAGTTACGTAGCTATCAAATTAACAGAAAGAAATCATGGAATTCTTCATGAGTGAATTTCATGATATACAGATCATGTCTGATTAAATATACAAGTATATATGTGTTTTTTTAAGGGACAGTCTTACCTTGTAGCTCTAACTGGCTCAGAACTTGATATATAGACCAGCTCTGACCTCAAACTCACAGAAATCTCCCTGCCTCTGCCTCACAAGTACTAGGTTTAAAGATGTGAACCACCATTCTCAGCTAAATCTATTTTTAAAACTACGACTAATTCTGAGCAAAAAGAAAATAATTTTATATTAATTAAAATAGCCAGATGAAGAAATGTTCAATAGTTCCTATTTAAGGGAAAATCTAATGTAATTTAATGCCAATCAATCTTTCTTCATATATATCATGTGATTTAACTGATCCCAATAGAGCATTTTTCATGTAACTCATTAATTAACAAACATTAACCATCATTGTGAAAATACCAAAGAAGTAAAAGGTTAACAAAAAGCAACATCTGATCTTTAGTTTATTAAAATAGACTTTCCTAATGTTTGAGAAGCAAGGATAATCACTAAGAATAACCAATAATTTCTTATGACCTTCTGAATAAGTTTTTCATTTAAGGTGTACAGAATTAGAACAGCATAATCCAGGACCATTTTAGCAATACATATTATTTATTAAAATAATGTTTCTGAACATAACAAAGAAGTCTAGTAAGGAATGACAGGGTTTTACAATTGTATGTCTAGCCAATTCACATAAATAGACCTACCACATCTATTGCTATTTCCAAGTACTGGGCCAGATAACAGAATATTTGCAAGTAGGTATATAGTGGAAATACAGTTTATTTAGACAAAGCAAACCACAGACAGTAATTAGTGGAAAAGAAATGTGGCTTGGTGCATACATTTTTTAATTTTATTGCAATCTTCTAGAAGATATTTACCAATACCTAAAGAGAATAATACATATATAGTGCTACCAATTTAGAAAAATGAGCTAGAAGCCAGTATCACTAGCATGGTGGCACAACTATTCCCTTCAGATAAACATTTTAAGAAGAAAGGACATCAGGAAGTAAGGGTTCTATTTAAACCTATAGTATCTATTCAGAAAATGAGAATCAAAAAATGAGAATGCAGACTCCAAATAGTCCTGTATATCTTTCATGAAAGACCAGTACACTAAAGAAGGGAAGTCCATGTTATCAGAGACTGGCAAAAGCTGAGAAAAGTAAAACAAATTTGCAGATCAAACAGGACTTCTAAAGCGTCTGGGAGCCTGAGAAGGAATGTAATGAGAGTTGGAACTGGGATAAATGAGAAATGATTGTTTACATGGACAGTATTCTGTTCTTGGGGGATTGAAGCTCACCGCCAGTCTAGCAGAGGAAAATGACACCTCAACCTGAACAATCTAATTGCTTCTTGAACATTGCAAGTAGTTCCAATGAAAGAATAAGGATGATAAAAATAAACAATGAAAAAATTCCAACCTATAACCTAACCCCAGATGTTCAAGTTGTAATGCAAAAACACAGGAAACATGAAAAGACAACGTGAATCTTCCAAAAACTAGCAACTACACAGCAATGGCTTCTAAAACTTCTCAAACTATTCCATAGACAAGAAAAAGAAGGAATACTACTAAACTCTTTTTATAAAGACATAACAAAGACAGGCAGTGGTGGTGCACTCCTTTAACACCAGCATGCAGGAGGATCTTTGTGAGTTCCAGGCCAACCTGGTCTACAAAACTACACAGAGAAACCCTGCCTCAAAAAAACAGAACAAAACAAAACAGGAAAAAATTACTGACCAATTCCCCTGCTAAACACAGACGCAAGTGTTCTGAAAAACATGCCTGCAAATCAAACTGAAGAACAAACCAAAAAGATCATTCACAATGAGAGGGGTAGGGTTGGCTCAACATATGTAAATCAATATATGCAACAATCACATCAATGGCCAAGGAGAGAAATCAGTTTTATCTCAACAGATGTAGAAAGAGTTTTGACGAAATCCAACATCCCTTTACTTTGCCTTGAAAAGGCTAGGAATACAAGAAATATACTCAAAAAGATACATATGACACACAGCCAACATTAATCATACTAAATAGTAAAAACTCAAAGCATTTCCATCAAAATCAAGAGCAAGACAAGGGCATTCGAGAGAGAAAGAGAGAGAGAGAGAGAGAGAGAGAGAGAGAGAGAGAGAGAGAGAGAGAGAGAGAGAGAGAGAGAGAGAGAGAGATTGTGTGTGTGTGCACGTGCGTGCGTGTAGGTCAGAAAACATGGTTAAGATCATGTGGGTCCTGAAGATTAAACTCAGGTCATCAGGCTTGGAGGCAAGTACCTACACCTGTTGAGCCTGAAGGCAGGAATATCCATTTTATCCACACACACTCCCAGACAGGATCTCACTATGTAGCCCTGGCCTGCCTGGAACACCATTGGTTTCTGCCTTCTCAGTGCTGGGACTAAAGGTGTATGCCACCACACCTGGCTCACTTTCTCCATTCTTACTCAATATACTGCTGGATGTTTTAGCTAGAGTAATGATCAAAGAAGGGACGGGGATACAAGAAGGAAAGGAAAAGGTCAAAATATCCTATTGCAGATAATATCCTATATTTTAAGCGTCCTAGTCATTAGAGAAATGCAAATGAAAACTATACTGAAATTATATCTCCCCAAAGTCATAGTTTAGAAAGGGACACAGTTTAGAAAACAAAAGCTGATGAGAAATTAGACAAAAGAGAACCCTTCTTTATACTGCTTCTAGGGATGTAAAGCCATCTAGTAACTATGGAAATCAGTATGGATGTTTCTAACAACAGACCTACCTTACAGCCCAACTCTACCAATACTGAGTTTTTAACCAAAGACCCAAGTCTGCACATCACAGGGATATCATATGTCAATATTTTTGAAGCAAGAGCTAAGTTATAGAATCAACATAAGGTTGCTTTTCTGTGTGTGACAGAGACAGATTTTCTTTCAACCAAGAAGAATAAAGTTATGTCACTTGTAGGAAAATAGATAAAACTAGAAATAATCAAATTAAGTGAATTAAGAGCTTGGTGGTGGTTGCCAGGCGGTGGTGACACAAGCCTTTATTTCCAGCTCTTGGGAGCAGAGGTGGGCAGATCTCTGTAAGTTCCAGGCCAGTCTGGTCTACAAAGAGAGTTCCAGGACAGCCAGGACTACACAGAGAAACCAGGTCTCAAAAAACAAAAACAACAACAAAAAAAGAAGATTCTAAATGGTGTTCCATTTTTCATGATATATTTATTATTTTTATCATCATCATTATTTGGGGGGGGCTCAAGACAGGGTTTCTCAGTGTATCCCTGGCTGTCCTGAAACTAGCTCTGTAGACCAGGCTGGCTTTGAACTCACAGAGATCCACCTGCCTCTGCCTCCTGAGTGCTGGGATTACCACCTCCCGACTTTTTTTTTTTTTTTTTTTTTTTTTTGGTTTATGAGACAGGGTTTCTCTGTATTGTTTTGGAGGCTGTCG